GCTCTGAGCTCCCTGGCGCGCTGCCCACCAACGATCGAGGGGGAATGGCACCTGACAGGCCCACAAACCTGCATCTAAAAAAGGTAAGAGCGCCTGCGGATCCCCCCACACACACAGCGATTGGGTTATTTTAATGTATTGCTGCGATAGTGGGAACTGTAGTATTTCTCTATAGCTGTTGGTACATCGCGCTGTAAATGTACCATCAGCTATAAAGGAATACAAATCCCAGCAATACATTATACACTGTATGTATATTGTATTGCTGGGATTTGTTGTATTTCTCTATAGCTGGTGGTATATTCTGCACTGCGCTGTATAATCATTATACAGCGCAATGCAGAATATCACCAGCTATAGAGGAATACAACAAATCCCAGCTATAATACATTATAGTATAATGCATATGTGCTGGGATTTGTTGTATTCCTCTATAGATGGTGGTATTCTGCGTGCATTGCGCCGCTGTATAATGTACTATTGCTGGGATTTGTTGTACTCCTTTATAGCTGGTGGTATTCTGCGTGCATTGCGCCGCTGTATAATGTACTATTGCTGGGATTTGTTGTACTCCTTTATAGCTGGTGGTATTCTGTGTGCATTGCGCCGCTGTATAATGTACTATTGCTGGGATTTGCTGTATTCCTCTATAGCTGGTGGTATTCTGCATTGTGCTGTGTAATGTATTATTGCCATTTTCTTTTTTTATCCGATTAACCGATTCATCGAACTTAATAATCGGCTAACTAATCGATTTTGAAAATAATCGTTAGCTGTAGCCCTAGTTGCCACCCGTCCGGTTTTGGTGTGTTGTGCCTGGGTGCCCATCCATGCAAGCACCCGGACACAAGACACTCAGTGCCGACACCGGCACTTTAAATTTTCTGACAGGTGAAACTCCCGAGGTCCTTGTCAAGGGCAATGTCGAGCAGCCGCCTCGGCCTGAAACCGGATCTTCCTCTGAGCTGGGGGCAGCCCGCACAGCCCACCCGAGTGTCGCACACCCCACCCGAGTGTCGCACAGCCCGCACAAACTACCAGGCCACCTGAAGACATCAGAACCACTAAAGCCTAATGGAGCACAAAAAAGTGTGTGTGTGTGTCAGGCCACACAAATTGTTGAGTGCGTTTGTCATTTGTTTTGCTTGACCGATTTGGTGCCTTGACGCATGAGGGGGTTCTCAGCTGCCATTGGGATGTGCGGGATCCCTTGTGTGTACCTGTGCCTTTAAGGAGGTTGGGCTTCCTCCTGACAAACCTACACCCAAATTTGAAATCTTCTGCCCCCATGTGCTCCAAGATGGAGACTTTCATAGTTTAGAGTTAGGACCGCACTATAAGAGGTGCCTTGGTGCGGCTGTGCGGCTTTCACATTTTCTGCGTGTGTGTGTGTGGTGGAGAAATGCATCTTCGCCTGTGTTGACAAAAATCTTTTCACTGGCCCTGCCCATTGAGCCGGAGGTGTGTCCATGTTTTCTAACCATCCCCGGAAGCTGCATTGATTCCTTTACTGTAAGTTATGTTTTAATACTGTTTGCTTGTACGTGTGTCCCGCTTTGTTACTTCTGTTGTTGTAACCGTACGTCTTTTATGCACAGCCTGCCTAGGCATGAATGAATAAGCTGGTTTTTGATTGCTCTACAGAACGCACAAATCTAAAGAGACTGCTGTGTGTCTATTGTGCGTATAGTCTATTGTATCATCGGTGCGTAGAAGTCTGGTTGTAGGTCATTGGCAAACAGGGATCTGTGTGTCCGATGTGTGGGCGGGAGAAGATTCCAAAATTCTCCAGGATGGGGCAATCACTTCGGCTGCCGCACAACCATTAGATTTGCATTTTCTTGTGTGTCCAGCCAGTTATCTTTGAGTGAGTCTCCCTCCAGTGGCACCCAGTGATATATCAGGAGACTGTGGTGTGTATTAATACTAACTCAAGAGGTAATATTGCCTGGTTTACCTAATCTGCACCTGCTACTGAGACCAGTGGGTGTGTGGTGTATAGGGTTGCCACCTTTTCTTCATGCAAAACCCGAACACACTCTGGTGACGCGCTGACATTTTGTGGGGAGAATGAGTTGCGGCTTATTCATGTAAAATCACAGTTGAGACTATTTTCAGTGTGGGTTGCCATTAGCCCCTATATTAATTTTGGGTGCCCCTGCCTGCCTGACATCATGTGTCCGGGTTACTGCTGCCATGAAACCCGGACGCAACATTCAAAAACCCGAACTGTCCGGGTGAATCCTGGACCAGTTGCAACCCTAGTGGTGTATGAAGCGTGTGGGCCAGTCTGACTGAATGCAAAGGTTACCCACTGTCCTCTTTGAACCACATCCATATTCAAGTTTGGTGCAAATCACATCCTTGACCCATCATTATGGAAGTCCTAAGAGGTCATAAAAGTTCATCACTGTCCTCTGTCCCATTCATGTGACTTTTGATGGTGGTCAAAACAGGCAGCGATAGTGAGGATTGATAGGGAGGACCCTGCCAGCAGATGTTTCCTCAGAATACCCTTGGTGGTCATACTGGCCAATGTGCTAATGACCCCTCGGGCATTCATCCCTTAATTAGTGTTGCTGCTCAGCAAGCCTGTGTTGGCTGTATTATGTTATTCATCAGCTGTAACTTAAAGGAGAACTATGAGGTGAGTGCTTTTCACTCACCTCATAGTTCTAGCCGGCCTGTGACAATGAGACTGTCACAGGTCGGCTCAGTAAATC